AGATGTGCGCATAGCAATATCGATCGTCAGGCGGTCACATCTTGCCACGCGCTCGAATTGGGCGGTAGGCCGGCCTAAGACAACGATTTTTAATAATTAATTACTCGTTAACTATTACGAAAATTGCAAAATGGTACAGGACTTTTCCGTTCATCTCGATCCGTTCTACCTTCTCAAAAATTTTGTCGGATATGGAAAGACTCACCCTGTATATTTTCCATCGCAGTTTTCAGACAAAGACATATCGTTTATTTTTACACACGCAACCATTGCCGTCATTTGCTGCGTTACTCGATATTAACGATTAGTAATTAACACGAAGAAAATATATATAATACGAGAAGTTCTTAAATATCCCCGTGGGATCCTCATCCAAACATCCTGGGATAGATCTAGGTCAGATATATTGACACTATCACGTCGTATCATAGCCTGTGTCTACAAGAGTAATCCCGAAGGATCATTTCGCATCTTGTAACACCACTTTCGACCCTCCTACTTTATTACGATTACGGCCCGCTAAATCAGCAGGAACGCAAGTATCACTTTAGATGATTGATTAATTGCAAATAACGACTAACGATATCCTTCCTAACTCGATAATTGTCATGGAAATGAAAGCACAGCAGGATCATTTTCGATTATGGACGCGCCCAGTGATTATGGACCATATACCAATTTGACCTATCGATCGAAATTACCCATTGTGACAATATTAACCGTCTTGATCACCTAATATGTGTCCACGATAATATCGCATTAGCTCAGTGATTATTAAGATATCCCCTAAGTACTAAAACTACAATTTGAATGTATTATTAAAATCTGATCTCGACGTCGTATACATTTGGCTAGGTCTCAAAGCCGAAGTTGCAAAAATTGACATATGATGGATAACGGGCAAAAGCACCTTCGGCAGGTTCAGCAAAACAGCTTGAGGCATCACGAGCACGTATCACAACCTTTACGTATATTATTTAAAGTTGAAGTGCGCAAACGTTACATTTCTTTGCGCAAATACCATCGCGTACCTTCGACG